TAAGAGCATACTCTATCCCTCGATGCCAGTTGTACTATTAAAGCGTTGAGAAAAGCTGTTTCTCTTTTCGGTGTTCTCAAGCGAATTGTTATATCGGGGAAGGGGCTTTGTAAGCGCGGACTTTAGAGAATTGAGTAAAACACCTCGTATAGAACTTTACTTTATAACAACAGGGGCAAATAAAGCCAACGGTCAAGTAGAAAGGGTCATGCAGATTTTAAAATGTCTGCTAACTATTATAGAAAACGATACCCATAAAACGTGGCGTGACAAACTTCCTGAGGTACAAGGGACGAAACCTCTTAGCATTCAATGGATTCACCGTGCGGGTGCCGGGTCCATCGCGTTGCAGGGAGGGGAGCTTCAGCAGTGCCGGGGACTTGCGACCCAGGTGTGGGTTTAAGGGGCCCCTTTAACTAACGCGCGTTGTACGCTCACCTCCACTGTCCAAGTTCCTCTCCCTACCTAGCCAAATTTGAAAACTACTACTAATTGAACCTACTAGGGCTGAATTCGACGTACGTTCCAAGAATGAATTAATGTTAGTTCTGGACGGGCCCAAGTCTTTTAGTAGGTTGTAGAGAGATTTAGCTGTTATACCTCTCGCTCCCACCTCTACCGCGTACGAATCAGCGACGAACCTATTTCGAGTTAGTTCGTTAGTGAGCTCGTAATACTTAATGACAACGCGCTTTGAAATACGCGAATATAGAAATATGTCTGGTCTAGAGGCTGACGCACAAATATCCTCGGGGATTTTGTGTTGTTTCTCACACGTATCCATCATGATAGTCTAATCCGAAGCCGCTTTAAGGATAGAGTAAGGCTTGACGTTTGATTTTGTAGCCCTAGTGCTCTCTCTCACAAAACCTATTGATCGTTCGTTTGTGGTTGTTTCCCTTTGCGCTCTGGCTACCGAAAGACTGGCCGCTTCACGTATGATCTCTAAAACCCTATAGTGACGACGCGAGAGTTGACCGCTGTCCAGGAGAACCTTACATCTCACTAGCAAATGCTTAGCAGTTCCAACTGCCTTTCCGCAGATATAGCAAGTGTTTTCGGTACCTTTACCCCATCTTACTGAATTGCTCTGGTCTGGGAGAGTCATCTAGCACTTAATAACACAAGCCGTAGGGTTACAGGATATACTCCAACAGAACTAATGTTTGGCATACGCGCGCAATCTTTAGGGATATCATTAATAGCCCAAAATTCAGACGAGCCGAGATTAGATTTAGACAATATCCGGAATAAAACTTCCCTCAACACTGAAAACGCAGATCAAAAGGAAGTAGTTAAATTTAATAAAGGCAAAGCCCAAGTAAAACCTTCTTTTCTTTCTCGGGGAGATTACGTTTTTGTTAAGTGTAGCGAGTGTTACCAAACTAAACTACAAAGAAAGTTTAGGGGACCTTTTATCATAATTAAAATTCTAGACAACTATAGGTACGAACTGAAACATACCGATGAATCTAATCACACTTTAAAATACTCTCATGAAAACTTGCGCGCAGTACCCAGAGGCTTTGAAGGGTTAGTTGACATATCCACTGAACTAGGTAATGAGGAGGCCGAGACGGCGGGTCATGGAGTGGAGAGAATGGAAACGAAGCTTTATCAGATGATGAAAGTGAGTAGCTCTGATGGCCTCCAACCATAAATGAGTTGTGTAAGTTTGAGTTGGTGTGTTTGAGGTGGCGATGGAACTGGCTGATGCGGCCGATGTTTCTAGTAGTGATGGATCAAAGCGTGCAGGGGCTGGCTCGATGGAGTCCACGTCCGGTCGACGCTTGATCAGGTTGTGAAGATGGACGGACTAGCTCGGTGGAGTCTATGTCCGGGTCATCGTTCACTCACATGAGTTTGTCTAGTGGAGATGGACGGACTAGCTCGGTGGAGTCTATGTCCGGGTCATCGTTCACTCACATGAGTATAAGTAGTGGAGATGATGGGGCTAGGTCATTGGAGTCTACGTCTCGATCATTGTTCACTGATATGTGTGTGATGATGCTCTGCAGATTGGTCAGACGAAAGTTGTCGTCCGGGTCAGATCCATTTACGTTGGCTGACTTGTCTTGGAACCCCTGCAGATTGTGGTAAGACGAAAATTGTCGTCCGAGTCAGAGCCATTTACGTTGGCTGGCTTGTCCTGGTTGCTCTGCAGATTGTGGTAAGACGAATAGTGTCGTCCGGGTCAGATCCATTTACGTTGGCTGACTTGTCTTGGAACCCCTGCAGATTGTGGTAAGACGAATATTGTCGTCCGAGTCAGATCCATTTACGTTGGCTGACTTGTCCTGGATGCTCTGCAGACTGTAGTAAGACGAATGGTGTCGTCTGGTTCAGATCCATTTACGTTGGCTGACTTGTTCTGGATGCTCTGCAGACGGTAGTAAGACGAATGTTGTCGTCCGGTTCAGATCCATTTACGTTGGCTGACTTGTTCTGAATATTTTGAGTATCGTGGTAAGACGAATGTTGTCGTCCGGGTCACATCCACCAAAGGACCGACCTGTCCAATAGTACCTACTAATTGTGAACAGTTAACCTACATGCTGTTAAGTGACAAGGCGTTGTCGTCCGGCTTAATTGTTACGTGATGTTCGTCTTAAGTATCATAGCACATTTTGATGATTGTAACTAGTCGTTTGTCAGGATGCCGAACGGAATAGACACAACTGTAGTTCATTGATCCGAGAACCGCCCGAGGACGGTCGGATGTCAGTCCGGCCGTGACGGCGCATCCGTCAAAAATCATACGTCAGGTTGACCTTTAGCTGTCTGAGGTTAGCCTAGTGAAGCGTCATTGTCGATGGTAGCGTGGGCGGCCATCTTTATTATACAGTTTCGTTCGGGATGACGCCCGCGCACCGCGCTCGTGACGAATCGCTGTGTATCGAAGTGATAGTTATATCTAGTGTTTCGATTGAGTTGGTGTCGTATTGAATAGACTGTACTTTATCCCTTTCAAAGTATGAGTTCCCATGAAGGCCCTCCTGTTCTTACAACGCCCTCCTACAAACATATTATTTCGTGACTACATCAACGAAAACAAATTATGTACTGACAAAATGAATATTCTAATTTCGTTAGCAATTTGTTGTCGTTCTTGTAATGGCATTTTTGGTCATTTTTTTTCATGATAATTGTTTTAAATTACATTGGTTATAGAGGCACTACTGACTACAACGTTCTAAATATAAATTGACGTAATTTGCGAAGTATATATAGTAATTTATATTTGTATACTAGCGCCCGAATATTGTTTGTCTTAAGATTTTTATACGGTAATTAATGTGAATTCAAAATTAGTCTCATTTTTTTTTCGTAAATTCGCATAATCTTATGTGAGCTGTATTTTTTCAAAAATACTCCTTTTAAAATTTAAAATTATTCCATTTGAACTCATTTAGGTATTTTGCAACGTAACAACTAAGTTTGTTAAAATTTTCATGTGTCTCATTATTACTATGGCAGATATATGTTTTTCACCTATTATATAATTGCTATTTCTTCATTTATCTGTAAGAACACCACGTTGTCAACATATATAACGGGATTCGGGAATAATTAAAATTGGATAACTAAAGAATTCGCATTAATTGTCGTAATATAATATAGTAAGGTTATATATAATATAATAGTTATTTCGCAATTGTCATGAATAAAAAACTTAAAAAGGTTTCTAGCAACCTACATCCGATATAATTTTAATCAGGTGAAGCAAAAAAGCATAACAAAACAGTGGTGTACACAACCAAGATGTATATTCAGTAAACAGTAAATAAAGGCAATTTGAGTAACTATTCACGTTGATAGGTCTTTTATAAAACCTATTTGTTGTGTTTATTGTCGTGGCCAAAATAAGCATGATTTATTTATATGAAGTAACTTGTTTTTTTTTTGTTTGAGATGTTTTTTTTTTTATAGTAAAACAATAAATGCTTTTTATTTTATAAATAACTAGTAAACCTGGCGAACTCCGTTTCGCCTCCGGAAGGCTTTGTATTATATAACATTTCGTTTGGTGATTAAAAGATGAAGAAATTTTTCTTTTGTTTTATATTTGAACAGGAAAATTTTTGTTTCATTCCACAACAGTAATCAATTCATTCCGATTACAAAAATGAAGTGTTATTTAGTTGAACTTCTCGAATCGAAGCGTTATACGTGTCCGCAAATTATCCGTTTCATTGAAGTGCTCCTTTGTAAACCACATTTTTTTGTTTTTTGGTATAACGTTAACACAAATAAACCGGATGGTTTCCCAACACACACAAACTATAACTGCCCATGTGAAAAACAATGATTTTCTAAATTTATCCCGCAAATACTAAATTACATATCTATCATTACACGTCAATTGCATAGCTGTCAATTGTGTTTCGTTATTACACGTTTTATAGTGACTGACGTTTCATGTCAAGTCCCACGAGAATGCTGTTGAACGGGATAAAAGTATCCTATTGCATTTTCTTGGCTCTAAACTACCTCCCTGCCAATTTTCAGCTAAATCGGTTCAGCCGTTCTTGAGTTATAAGTGGAGTAACTAACACGACTTTCTTTTATACATACATATATAGACATATATAGACTTAACCAACCAACATGTATATATAGACTTAACCAACGTCGACTGTTACAGGTAACGATTGGCACGCTGTCTGTCGTACCAGTAGTCCAGTAATAGTCTGATCCTGTGCGATATAGCTCGTGGTCTAACTAGCGAAGTGAGTTATATTTTCTATCGAACTTGTATATAGTATTAAAAGTTTATAGTCCGGTGGAGGGGAGCGTATATATGCAGCTATGGGTGGAGCCTGTCTGTTGCAGCGTGCTGGCGAACTTAGTGTGGTGGAGTACGGCCTCGATAGAGTACTACAAACCGTGAGTATAGATCAAGATGTACACAATGTCAAGTAATTTAATTTATACTAAAATGTTTCGTATCTTATGGAGGTTCGTACTGAGCGTGTGAATCCTCACGTGCTCAATGAGGGCTGGGCAGACAGACGATTGCTGTTATTGATCTTGTTACAGGTACGGAACATACGTAGGATAGATGTTAGAGTTCCTTTGTTATGAAAAAAAAGATTGATGTCGTTGCATTATATTTATTAATATCAATGATGTGAATGTTCTAGGAGTTCAGTTAGGGCCATGGTGGCACGAAGCTCGGGTGGATTGGTTGGAGCTGACTGAGAGCGGACATCTGCTTCTGTTCCGTCATACTAGACGACGACTTGCACTTCTCCGTATTGATACCGGTGAAAAGGTAGCACTCATATATATAGCGCAAAAGACATAGATGAATAAATTGAGTCAAATAAATATGATATTTCATTGTCTGGTATTTCATTTTTTTAGGAAATTATCGCGAGCGGAGTTAGTTTCGTGCAATGGATAGAAAACAGTGACGCTGTTGTAGCCCAAACCCCAACACATTTGCTGATTTGGTAAGCTTTAATAATATATTTTTAAATTCTACTGGAAAGTGCTTGACTGTTGGAAGATGGAAATGAAGTGTTAGATACTGAACGCACTATCTCAGTATCATCCTATTCACGCCTTTTCTTGAAGATACCCAAATTATAACGTCATGTTGAAATATCTTTTTCATTATTAATTTTGGGATTGTGATGTGGAGATTAATGATTGTATTAGCACTTTTGAAAACTTACTTCATGTAGATAAAAGTAACTTATTATATGTACAACATTTATCTGAATATAATAAATCTTCTAACTTAAAATAATGTATTGTTGGCAATGTTTAAATGGTCAGTATTAATTTAATATTTTGGGAGAGAACATATCAAAATATTCCTGTAAATTAATCCTAGTTTTTACTCATTATGTTTATATCTTACATACAGTAAGATATACATGGGTCATAAGGTTGTTCCTACATATATATGTTTGTTTGTATGTGTTATAGGTGCAGTGTATGGGAGCCTCAGTGTGTTGTCATGTCTGAGTGTGTATCAGTCTCGGCTGTATCAGTATCAGAGCGACGAGTCCTACTGGAAGGAGGTCAGATCCAGGCCATTGTATTGGATGAACATCGACTGGCTTTCAGTATGAACCCTTTACAGTATTGACATTATTTTTATACTAGCTGCGCCCCGTGGTTTTACCCGCGGATCTCCGGGATTTTCGGGATTTCCCGGATGTAAAGTAGCCTATGTGTTATTCTTGGATGTAAGCTTTCTGTATACAAAATTTTATCAAAATCGGTTCAACCGTTTGAGCGTGAAGAAGTAACAAACATACACAAACACTCACAAACTTTCGCAATTATGATATTAATAGGATTAATGAGATCTAAGACTTCCTCGAGTATTCATTTAAATGAAACACATCTAGTCTGCCCGTGATCATGGTTGCTGTGAAGTAACCGAAACATTCTTTTCATTTATTTTTATATTGTTTGAAATGATTACTATGATGTTTTTATCTAGACTACATTTAAATTTAAAGTTCATAGTAGGATAACATTAATGTGGTGCACACTATCAACACAGCAAGATTCAGTGTGTTGCTATAGTAACTTTTTGGACAGATTAACTTATAGAATAATACAGAGTACTAAGTTTCTTTTTGCATAAAACAATAAATAAACTATTTTATTATAACAGGATTGGTTTAATGTTCTAAGCGCTATTTGAATTTCTTTTCATCGATCACTATATTGTTAATTTATATGGAATATTAAATGGAATGTATGTAGTATTTATTTTGAATAGATTCCGCGTTACGTAGCGGGGACTTAAAGGATTGTGCTCAATACTTGGACGCTGTGTCGAGGTCTGCGGACGTCGGGTCGTTTTGGTGTCAACTGGCTGAACAGGCGCTAACAGGATACGATGTTGAGGTTAATATGAATGACATTACAGTTAGATTAAATATAAACAGAAGTTTGTTAAGACTTCGTTGCCAAACACATTGAAAACATCCTAATAATTTTTAGTAAGTTTTTCACGATATTTGCTTTATGTGAATTTGTATTCAAGTACAGAGGATATAAGTACAGTGGATGTCTCATAAATGTAGATTTTCAGTGTTCACTTTTTAATATATAATGCAAAGAAATACATTAACTATGAGATGTATAGCTCCTCGTATTTAAGTCAGTGGTGGCTCAGTGGTTAAAGGGCCCGCCTCTCGGCCTCTCGCCCCGAGGGCGCGGGTTCGATCCTGGCCCGGGCAAGTACCAATGTGATTTTTCCAAATCATATGTACTTTATAAGAATATTTAGACATCACTGATTAATGTTGATTCCCAAAAGAGGGTTGATGTCAGGCAGGCGGCCGGTCGTAAAAACAAATAGCCAAAAACTATTCATAACATGTAAGGCAGACCCTGGCTGTAGCTGGGAAATTGCCAGGCAGAAGAAGAAGAAGAAGTATAGCTCCTCGTATTTAATGGTTTTTATCCCAAAGAGCAGTAAGCTCTTAGGTTAACCATTTGTTGGCCTTAAATGCAAAAAAAAATTCGCACTGCTTTAATAACATCTGTCGGATACAAATTATTTTGTACAAAAGAATTTCGCCATAGATCTCAAGTGTAAAGTCTGGACTAAATTTCGGATGTGTTAAGAGTTTAATATCATCAAGTTCTTTGATCGTATTCTGCGTTACTTACGACACTTATGGTTTAGAATTGTCTTGAAAAAAAAAAACCGGTTCCGGTAACATAAATATTTCTTCAACAAAACCTCATACATTCGCATCTCCTGTCCACTATTTTATCAAAACCTAGTCCTTCATCAACAAACAAACAGAAAATTATTCAAAGAAAGTAAATTTACTGTACTGTTTGTAGAGCTAGAGATAAATTTAAGAAGTTCCAACATATTTAAATGGATGCGTTGAAATTTTTACATATGAGTCGACATTACCTATGAGCCACCATGTATATATGATAGAAATAAAGATTGTCCAATGGTTTTAGAATAACTACTTCAATTTATTATTGGTTTAATTACATTAACGTTAGGTTCAAGTAGATTGGACCACCCTGATACCGAAAAACAGTTATGTTTGGTTAATTGTTAGCCATTCAGTTGTGGTGGTATATTCCTCACTGCTCAAATTAGAGAAAGTCTAATATACAGGGTGACTGGTGAATTACTATCAATATTTAAGGAGCATACTCGGTACATGATTCTCATTCGAATTATGTAAAAAAAATAGGTACTTAATTTTTGACCAAATTTCCGTATAAATAAATAAAGTGTGTACACAAGACGCCGCCGCGCGCGAGTGTGTGTGTGTGTGTGTATACCTAATCTGTAGGGTGTTCATACGATGCGTAATTAATTACATAACTTTTGGTTAACTTTACTTAGAAGTTTATTAATATTTATGTTATATTAATTTTTATTTTGTCATATATGATCGTCAAATATCACGTCCTCAAATATCGATAGTAATTCACCAGTCACCCTGTATATACATATTATAACATTTAAACGTTTTAGTACCTCATAACATATATATTTTTTTCAGTTGGCGACGAAATGCTATAAAGCAGTGGGTGATGAGGCTAGAACATTTTATCTAGAGAAAACTTTCGAGTTAGCTTCAACCAAAGGGGACGGGAATATTGATGAAGGTATTTTTTGCTTTTAAACGTTTCGGGAACAGCTCATATATCTGTTTCTTTAAGTACGCACTTATTGTATTAATAGTATTTATTTTATTAATCGTGATTATAATATATTGCATAGGTTTAAAGAGTCCCGAGGTTCGTGCACGTCTAGCAATATTTGTGGGGGGCTTAACCACCGCCGAAGAATACTACGTACGTGGAGCCGCTCAGCCAGAATTGGCCATTAATATGTACAAGCAGTTCAATAGATGGGCAGATGCCATCGCCCTCGCTGAAAAAGTCGATAGACAAGCGGTGACATCACTCAGGCAGCAATACATGGACTATCTCACGTCAACAGGTGCAAAAATTATAACTGTTCAGAATATAATTTAAGATTGATAAAAATTTTCCGCGCTGCAAAAAAATATTTGTAAAATCTTATATCAGTTTTAATTGATATATATATATATTATCTTAGTTAGAATAACACTAATAATCTATTTGCCCTAGTAAAGTATTATTGTGTTGGTACAGGTCGTCAGGTGACGTGCGAGGCGCGGTTCTTGTGTGGGTGAAGGGTGGTCGGCGAGACGAGCTGCCAGCCATCAACTAGTACAGGTGAAGGTTGCATTATCAGATAGATAAAAAAAATAGGGAAGGAAATGGCTCCATTATCAGATAGCTAAATAAAAATGCCAGTGAAGTGTGTACCCATTTGTGGGGATACCGCTTGTTGGTCTCACTAAAAGAACTCAACGTCAACTAAAAGAAAAAATCTCACGGTCTCTGTGCGGACGAGTATTCGAAAATTTCGTTACTCGCTTAGAAGAGTGTAAAAATCGAAATGGTGGTCATTTAGATGATATGATTTTTAAAAAATAATTTCCACCTCATTAGCTTTCTTTTAATAAAACAATTTTTAAAAATTGTCAAATAGTTTTCTTTAAATGATTATTTCAAATGTTAACGAATTCTTGGCCCACCCTGTACTATTGAAGAGATAATGTAAATGTGAATGATGCAAGTTAAAGACGAGGGTTATGCATTTAACTAACAAAGAATAGCAGAAGTATATTTTTTTAATATAACTGTCTCAAACATTAATATTTATTCTTATACTGTAACTCCTGCATATTACTATACATTTTAAAAACTTAAGATTCACTAATTAGAGACATAGATTATGAACTTTACAATTTGTTTCCTTTGTAGGAGGAATGGTGGGAAAGGGCTGGTGAAATATCCGAGCGTAAAGGTGATATCAGAACTGCTGTTGATTACTATTCTAGAGGCAACAACTACGCAAGAGCCGTTCAACTAGCAAGAGAAGTCAGTGTTGTTTATTAGAAATTTTGTTTTTAATTTTTATTATATCATTTTTTGTTCTTCAGGCCTGTCCTGAAGGAGAGTGGGGCGCGTGGCTTGTAACATCGCGACAGGCGGGCGCCGCTGTACCTCATCTCATAGAGGCTGCTCGAACCGTTGATGCTCTCACTGCGGCTCTGAAGGCACATCATTATAAAAAAGCTCTTCAAATTGTACAGGTATTATTAATAATAACTGGTTACTGAGCTTTTCTGGGTATTAAGGATTCATCATTTTTAATTCAACACGATAAGAAGACAGAAAATAACCTTAACCTTAAAGCAAACATTCGTTGACTTCCTGGTAATCAACAACGCCATCTGCTGTTGTGTCGTTAAAGCAATTAGTAAAAGCAAGTAGCAAAAAGTAGTATTACTATTCGCCACTAGATGTCAGGGAGCGTCATATTTTAAACGACAAATTTTTGTTATTCTTTTTTACGTAAAATAACATTTTCTAAATGATTAATGATGATAATGATTCCTAGCTAGATCGATTTATCTCCATCGTTTGAGCCGATACCGAGATTCCCATAATATATAAATATATATACAAGAATTGCTCATTTAAAGATATGAGATAAGATTTTGCTATAGGTTTTGTTTTTTTATATATACATTTTTTTTAAATCAATCCATTGATATCTTTAGGTTATAGAAGATATAGAATCAATTCGGGAGCAATGTGAACAGTTGGGGGATCATTTTATATCTTCTCATATTAAATAATGAACAAAAGAAATATGTTGTTATTATTTTTTTTATAATTGTTATTAACGTAATTCGATTTTGTTCATTCCGTATTAGTTATTGTGTATAGTTACAAAAATATAAATGTAAACATCCAATGAGGGTGTAAACGAATATGTTTTCAATTATTCATTTCTTCTTTTACACACGGATTTAACGTCACGATCAATTTATTAAATTTTTAGAATTCAAAGTTTGGGTCGATTTTTATTCTATTCTAGTAGGTTTCATATGTCAATTAATATATTTTTTGCAAACATTTACAGGAATGGGATACAGCGGAAAGAGTTCTCACATCCCGTGGTATGGCGGAGAAATGTGTAGGAGCGTACAACGCCGCGGGCAAAGTGTCGGAAGGTCTACGTGTTGCCGCTACACATCTGGCAGAAGAAGACACGAGAGATATTTACTGACCACTCGCTCAACAATCACGACAGGAAGTGCACTTTAGAAAGGCTGAACAAATTGATATAGGACTAGGAGATACAGGTGAAGCTATCATTCGTTGATTTTAAAGAGAGAGAGACGTCAGCCTCGCTGACGTTGCAAATGTCACTTCTTCAAGTACGGTCCATGATATTTTAAAATGAAACTTCAATTGATCTTAATGCTCCTGTATTTCTCAAAGATTCTTCATAATAACATACTTCAATGATACACACTCACTGAACTCTGAATTACGAGTATCAATTCTGAATTTTCAAATCTGGAGTCCGCCGTCGTGCGTCCAGTCGTCATATTTATAACAAGATTCAAACATAGTTCTATTCTCCTTTTATTTCGTTTTACTTTTTACAATAATCATGAATACTAATAAGAATTGATGACAGCCTCAAATTATTTTCAAGTCGCATCCGTTATTAAAGCTGGTAGCGCCGATATATATATCAAATTCATAGAATGCTGGCTAAGAATCCTATTAGTTAAGTATTATTATTGACAAATGTTCTGGATATGAGCAAAATTAAAAAAATAATTAAAAAATAAATTATTAGATATTATAATGAGATCTAAGATTCTCGCGAGTATTCATTTAAATGAAGCTAATATTTACGGACTATTACGCATTATATAATATTTTTAAAACTACATATTCCCGACGTTTCGGTTACATTACAGCAACCGTGATCATGGGCAGGCGAGATGTTAACTGAATACACGGGATAGTCTTAGATACATCCTACTAATATTATAATTGCGAAAGTTTGGGAGTGTGTGTGTGTGTATGTTTGTTACTTCTTCACGCTCAAACGGCTGAACCGATTTTGATAAAATTTTGATTTTGATGAAGATAATGTTGAAAGTGATTCATTGATAGTTTGTATAAGTAATATAATGTAAAATATAGAACACTCTATATGTTTATTTAAATAGTAGTTCCTGTTGGCGACTTCGTTTACGTTTGTGTCAGAATTAGAAATGTATAGCTGACCGGACTAAAACTATTCAACCTTAAAGACAGTAAATAAGAGCATTTTGTATTTTATCAATTTATTTCTTTTTCGATCAGATGAAAACTATCCTACGTCCTTTCCCATGTTCTAAGTTATCTCTCCACAAATTTTCAGCCAAACCGTACAGCCGTTCTTGACGTATAAATAGTGTAACTAACACGATGTATATACAAAGATAGTTGGTATAGTTCGGATCAAGTTGTTTGTACGAAGGCTAGTTGATGTGACATATTATTCTAAATATTCCAGGTACATGAGCTGACTATGAAGAGGAGGGGGAAGAGATGCAACAAGAAACAAAAGAATCAGATTCAGAAAGTGAAACGCTGGAGAAGTTAGTGAAGGCTGGCCAGTGGCAGCGCTGAGTGGCACGAGCTGGGACAAGGCAGCACATTACGGCTCAGATACGCTGCTCATCTGTTCAAGATAAATTCAGTAAGCATAACTCATTATTAATAATATGAATACAACCTATTGTATTGTTTAATAGTTTTGATTGGCTGAAATTGCAATTTTTGCCTTGTGTCACAATTTTAATAACAATATTAATTTATTTATCTTTTAACTTATAATTATAACGACTGTTTATTTAACTGAAACTTAAACTAGCTTAAAAGTGTATTATAATTTTTTATCACATTTAAACAGTATAGTGCATTACCATCAACGATTTAATTTCCACGTTCCAACTCGTGGAATGACAGTCAAGCGCTATCCATTCGAGATAATAAAAAAACCTTTTTCAATTACATTATAGGTGCTTGTGTTTACTAACCAATTTATGTTCCAGCGTATGGAAGGCGTAGATATTATAAGCGAAGAAATACCAGAAGTTCCTTCGCAAGTTCTGGAAGTACTTCGACAATATCTGGCAGATGACGCCGGTGTAGTGATAGTGTCTACTAGTGACAGTGCTTTATCCAAGGCTGTATGCAGTGAGATCCTTGTTAGGATGTCCGCTGCCCCCAAAGCCCTTCCTGCCATGAAGGAAGCAGCCGCCATTATGGTGATAGCTGGAGCCGATGAAAGGAGCATACAGGTTTTTATATAATGATCAAATTAGATTTGAAAAGAAAACTCAAATAATATATAATACTAACTGCGCCCCGCGGTGTTACCAGCGGATTTCCGGGATTTTCGGGATGTAAAGTAGCCTATATGTTATTCCTGGACGTCAGCTTCCTGTATACAAAATTTTATCAAAGTCGGTTCAGCCGTTTGAGCGTGAAGAAGTAACAAACATACACACACACACACTCACAAACTTTCGCAATTATAATATTAATTGTAATGTCGTTTAGTTGTTGTTTAGCTTACAAAGAAAAATTCTGATGTTACGGATATAAAGGTACTCGTATGTAAATTAAAATATAATGTTAATGTGTTTAGGCTATCACACAACTGACGGGTCGAGGCAGGCAGGCAGGCAGGCTCGAGCCCCGCCTCGATACGCTGACATCATTGTTGCTGGTGTTGGCAAGTATTAATACTCTGTTCTATATTATAAGTATTAATTTTCTTTTGTTTTTATCAATAAAGTCTCAAGAATGGTCCAGACAAGCATGAGTTCAAGACTTTGGCAGTATTCATTGAATTAGAACTAATATTTTCGGTTGCTGCAAAGTAAAAGAAAGGTCGGGAGTATATAGGCAAAATATTAAAAAACGCGTAGTAAATCTGAAAATATCAGTTTTATTTCAGTCCAGACGAGCATCAATAAGTAATTATGACATACCTAATAGTTGTTTTGGAAGTTATTCTTATTACAATAATTATTGTGCCTAATTAAAGTTTTTGTTTACGTGACCGTATCTATAATTTTATCACGAATCTTTTAGCAGCTTTTATCTGAAGAGGCATATAAAAACCATATTTTGTTTACTAATAACTTAGTAATTTTCGTGAAAGATTTAATATAATATAATGCCATGACAGGTGTCACGTTTTTTACAAATGATAGCATGATAGATTTGCTAAGTGCTAAGAAATGATCTTCAATTAATGTTATTTATGCCGTAAATATAAATAATGCACAAGTTGCTCACAATGTTTATATGAAATGACTATAACATCTTCATGTAAATGTCGTTAAAGTTATTAGAAGAGTACTAATAATAATTCCATTGTATGTATACTTTTCCATTGCAGCGTATTAGTTATGTGGCAGGTGACCCGCGGTGACGCAGGGAGTCCTTCGTGTTGCTGAACCACTGTCTGGACCTGCTGGAGGCCGCTGATGATGATGGAACCTAATGTTGGACTACGCCGACTTTGGTATAACTATTGGACCTCTATTATGATTATATTGAACTTACTTTATATATAGATAAATATTTTATATATTTTTTATGCTATGGCGTCTTTTCCACTGGAATCGTGGAATATTTTATTGTTGGACGAATTATATATCTTGAGTATTGTGTGAAGAAAGCTAGGAGGAGTTCTGTTTTTAAAAACTTTGAGATAATTATTTTGAAATATATAAAATTTAACGCTTTTTGGAGTAATTTTAACATCAATTAGTACACTGAGGTTCTGTATAATTATCGACTACAATATTTATGCAAGATCGATTTTCCAATTTATTAAAGTATTTTATATATTTTTGTTATGCTATGGCTTCCTTTGCATTGGAATCGTGGAATATTTTTCTTATGTCATCGTTTTTATTTGTTGGATGAGTCATATTCTTGAGTACGGGGTGCAGGAAACACAGAGTTTGTTGAATGAAATAAAGCCGTTTATTCTATTCAAGAAACATAATGAATTGTTATTTAATATTTTATGTTATAATATTGGGCGAATGTTCATTTTATGTTGACATATATCATGTATTTGTTATATATATTTTTATTTAACATAATTATTGTTTTTAAATATTTGAGATAATATTTTTTTAATATATAAAAATTAAAGATAGACTTTTGAAGCATTTAGGAGCACCACTTAGTACACTGTACACTTACTTCTGTACAATTTTTGAGGACAAAATTTGATGCAAGA